GCAAAATCTACACTGAAATATGTCGGACACTTATATTAACTAAAAAATTGTTAAAACAGCATTATCATTCACAGTGGTCTTGAAGCAAAAATAAAATTGCGACTAAAATGTATCCAAATGAGGTTTGCAGGAGGTGAGTCTATGGTAAATGTGGACATAAAATCGCAAAAAATCTAAATGTTGGCTGATCCTATTTTTGAGATATCGCAGTTTGAAATCCTCAAAGTTGAAGCAAGTTTTCTACTGATTTTGACCCGCTTTTTTATTTATTTGTTCGTTGAATCGGTGTTGATCGGTTCACGTTTTTATTTTTCGTTCGATTCATGTCAATCGAATACCTACGCGTTACATGCAGACTAACTTTCATACTCTTTTTTTTAAACTGAATAATTCGCCTTCTGCTGCGTCCGCAGCAATTGTTGTTACGAATATGTTGTGCGTGTCGATTTCAGCTCATTACATACTCGACTCTCTGAAGGCGTTTTATGTGCGCAAGTGGCGCAATCTGTCGGAGAAAGAACGAAGTAGGGATTCAATCTCACTTCTGTTTCTCTCCGACAGGGTGCTCTTCTTTCGCACATTAAACGCCTTCAAAGAGTCAAGTATGTAATGTGCTGAAATCAGCACGCACAACATATTCGTAACAACAATTTCTGCGAACGCAGTTGAAGGCGAATTGAAAACTACCGTAGAAAACACTTTAAAAACATTTTAGCTCTTTAATTAATATTGTTACCAATCGAGAGTTGTATTTTATGGCATTTTTAAGGGGAACTCTCGAAATTTTCACAATAAACTAAAAAAAACATAAATTTAGTTTAAATGCAAAATAAAATATACCGCGCCACAAATTTTCATCCTTGGTGGGAAGTTTAGCCTAAACTCACCGTCAAGACTGACGAAGCGCCAACGCCACAATGCTCACTAAGCAAAAGAATGATGCGAAAAAATTCACACAAAAATGGTTTGCAGGGGCCGAATCTAAGGTGCGTGTAGCGTTCCCAGTGCTTCAAAAATTTGTTTTGAAGTTTTCCACAACTATGCTCCGACCGATATCTCAAAACGTCATTTCCATTTATGAATTCGACATCTCTTATCATGACGTGGATTCTTAATAACTTAGAGGAATTATTGGTAATATTTTACAATGCTTCACTTATCTCTGCAAGTCTTCAACGTGTTTATGAAATTCAGGACCTAAGATCAACTAAGATTGAAAGATCACCTTTTCATCGTAACCTCCATAGGAAACTTATATACTTTTCTCTCCCGACAGAAAACTATTCTCTCGGGAGAGAAAAGTTTTCTCTACCGAGATTTGTTGGTATTTATGGGTTAAATCTCGAAAAGCAGATAATATTAAAGTAAGTAGAGTTCGAGCAATCGCGCCAAAAACAGTGCGGCGTTAAACGCAGATTAGCGCCTGCAAGGCTTTATGAATACTTCACGCATTGCGCCAAACAGCGCGGTCGGCCCAAAACGCTTATTAGCGCCTGCAAGTCTGCAAGAATGCTTCTCGCATGGCGCCTGTTCGTTAGAGCCCCCATGACATTGCTTAGCATCGTGACGTGTATCAAACAAAACGGAGAGAGGATCAGACATTTGGTAAAAATGCATTAAAAAATCACTTGACGTATTTCTACGAAATTGATGTACCTACTACAGTTTTACTATGCATGCCCGAACTTAAATTGCATTGATGCATCCATTTTTTAAATGGTCCTAAATAGGAAACGAGAGGAATGGAGGCGTTATGGAAATAAATGAAAGGAGGAAATGAGTTTGTTCCAGAAATATTGCAACTTCAGTGCAAGGCCACTTGGCAACCCGAGGGCAAAACAAGAGACTGCAACTAGCAAAGAGTAATTTGATTTGAATCGATGGAATTGTTAACTCTTGAGGAGTGAACTTGAACGAAGACCGATACCTTGTTGCGAGGCTTGCGATTGAATAAAAAATGCCTTTCAAAAAGAATCATTACACGATGTGGGGCCTTTACTTTAATTTTAATCCGATTAAAGTGTATCTCTTAAAGTCCCTTCTTTCTGACTGTACCATTGTAATATTTCGCCACGAACCGAAAACCGGTATACTTAAAAATAAATTTAGTTCTGATTCGCATTTTGCTGTACTTTAATTGTTTCACTTTTGTTAACCCTACTGAAGAATCAGTGGCGTGGCGTGAATTGCGATGTATCGATTGTTATGCCATTTAAACCTATGGAAAAAGATCGATAAAAAGGGTGTTCGCAGCGAACACCTTAATAATCGATTCTTTACCATAGGTTTAAATGGAATAACAATCGATTTATCGCAATTTGAGCCACACCACTGCTGAAGATAAGTACTTTCACTGATGTTAAAAGAGGGTTGGAGACAATTATTTTGAAAGGAAAAAAAAAAACAATGAAATATTGGTAATTTCGAACAAAATTGGTTTCAAAGCAGGTTTATATACCTTATAAAAAGGACATGGAAAAAAAATTCATTAGAGGAACGTAAGTTTAAACTTTGTAGAAAGGAATGAAACTAAAAGTAATTCACTAATGGTAAACTATTTTATGTCGACATCATAAAAAGCTTAGTTGCCTCCCTCATTTTTTGAAGTTTGCGATTGGTCAGTTCTGTGAATACCGCAAAACCATGTTCTGATGTTGAAGTATGATGCATTAGAGGAAAATAGAAAGATCCGTACAAATACCAAGTATTTTATATGCAAATTTTTTTCAAAAAAATATGCTCCATTTTGCATTTTTGCTAATTTTGCATCTCACAAAAGGAAAAATTGAATAATCCATAGTATGGCAAGTTTTTTACATGCAATTTTTTTTTAAAAAAATATGTTCAATTTTGCATTTTTGCAAATTTTGCATCTCAAAAAGAAAAGATTGAATGATCTAGTATGGCAAGTTTTTTACATGCAAAATTTTTTTAAAAAAATATGCTCAATTTTGCATTTTTGCAAATTTTGCATCTCAAAAAAGGAAAAATTGAATGATCCATACTATGACATGTTCTCTCCTATGTGCTTAAATCGATGCAGTGTTGCACTAGGATCAACTGGTGCAAACGAGGCACTGTGCGAGAACATTGACCGCACCAATTCCCTCTGCTCCTTTTGAATACCCCGATGAATGTGGCAGTCACGGAAGCAATTCGGTTTTCGGCCGTGACCGACTTTTACTCCGATGTAAATTAACCGAAATTGTGCACATGCACAGGCGAATGCATCATCAAGTTGTCAATTCTCACTCGATTTAATAACGGTTTGATTTGCGGCTATAATTTCTTTTGATGAAGCGAGTACTTCGTACGGACGAATCCATCCTTCGCGGTCAATTCCAATAGTCACGGCGTGTTAATAAATGGGGTGAAGGGAAGAATGGCGCCCTTCTCTTCAATTTTCCTCATGGAATCATAGACCGAGCATGTCGGAAAAGAAACAAGTCATATGTATGTATATATTTATTTTTTTACATATGAACAGTGCAGGAGCCATCCAGTCAATTAACAAACTCCTCATATTTAAATTTTAATTTTATTACAATTTGAAAGTTACATTTAGCGTAGACGTTATTAAAATTTAAATTTGAAGAGTTTGTTAATTGACTGGATGGCTCCTGCAGTGTACATATGTACTAGGTAACAGTCATTTCTTTATTATTTATTTTTTACTATTTCCTTTTTTTGGGAGGGGGGAGGGGAGAGATTAGTTAGAGTAAGCTTCTGTCAAATATGTTAGTCAAAAAATATTTCTGATTTAAAAATAAACGTTGGACCTAATTTCTGAGAGCAGGTCTGCCTCGTCAAAATTCAAATAATTTATTTTTGGTTCGAAAAACCATGGCTGAAATGACATCGAGTACGACTTACGGTGGAAAAGACAATTAGGAAAAACGGGAAACAAGACTGAAAATACACAATTAATAAAACCCGAGACGTTTCGACTCAAAACTGAGTCATTTCCAGTCGGAAACAATAAAAATTTTAAAAAAAAACCAAAGAAAAACCTGAGCCCTACGTGGTGGTGGCCGGGATCGCACGACATACGGCTCGCGAGAAACTTGACAGCAAATTATCTACTCTCTTGAAAATTGTCGGTTGGGATTTGTTCCTTTGCCTTGCCTAAAAAACTACAGCCGAACATTAACCCCCCCCCTCCGTGGTTAAAAACGAAAGAATGCAATACGAACATAAAGCAACACAAATAACCAACAAAACAGACAGCACACATTGCATGACCTGAGATCCACCCGCTATACAAATACTAACCTCCAGCCTGACGAATCAAATGAATTGGCATTTAAAAAAACATATAACGTAGGTAGCTCACCGGCAAACATAGAATTTTGCCAGAGTATAATTTTTCCCGAAAAATAAACTCTCATTTTCTAGTAATAATAGATTGGTTAAAATGAACAATTACTGTTTAAGATTCGCATTTATTTTCCTCTTCTTGGTAAATTAATACTTTTCTCAAAGAGGAACAGGCTTTCTATTCATGACTAATGAGCTTCCTTTCTGGTTGAAGATGGAAGCTAAAAAGAGACGATGTAAGAGATAAATGAATTCAACTTAATTAAATCTCTTATTTCGAAAACGACCCGACTCGGGTTTTTTACGAGGTTCAATTTTTGCGCAGAAACACTGCTTCTCTGCCTGTCACGCAGTTTTTATCGTATCCTGAAAAATTTGATTTTTCCGAGATGGGTCGCTTTCTAACTGAGATTCAATTTTGAAACATCTTCGTCCAAAAATGTTTCGAACATATTTCTACGAGGACACAATAATTATTTGGACGTATTTCAGTCAAACGGAACTATGTGCATTATGACGTGAGCCCTATTATGCATGTACTCCTATGGGTCTTAGGGCTCATGTCTTAATGCACATAGTTCCGTTTCATAGAAGTACGTCCATCTATGTGTTAATCTTAAAATTTAATCTAAATTATGTATGCACAATCTTTCAACTAATTTCCAATTTTGCATCTGTTTCAGCCTCAAGCGGCGGCACAATCACTGGTGAGTCTTTCAATCGTTTTTCCTTTTGGTTATATTGCATCAACTCTCCAAACCACTGTAGGGAGTGTTACTTATTTTTCATCGACCTCTGGAAGTAGATGCGCCTAATGGGGCTAATAGGGCACATCCAAATGGGCAGACATTCTGTGCGTATGTTTGCACAAAAATATCGATGAACACATCAGAAATGTCTTAAAGCCACTCCTAAACAAACAATTGGGCGATTACAAGATCCAGGTTGGTTGGTCAGTTGGTTGGTAGATAAATACATTTAGGAATTGCCCAGAAAATAGGTGTTGGAAAATGGTGCGCCTTCAATTTCGTATGATACTGTGCAACACCTCTGTTGTGAAATAGTTGCTTGAGGCGCCGTGGCACGCTGCGGCGCGGCGCCCGACCGGCCAGCGCGCACTATGGCCCCTACAAACCTAAGGGGATACTTCAAGCATTGCGCACTGCGTGAAGTATCCCCTTAGGTTTGTAGGCGCCAGTGCGCGCTTTGCACCGGTATCACGCCGCTCAGCTCTGAGTTAGACTCTAATTTTTATACTCGTAGAGTCAGCGTTTTTCAATGTTGCTTACTTCTCGGAAACAAAAGCAAAAGAGAGAGTCAGTCTAACTTCATCTCACGTTTCCTAATGTTCTCTTATGTTTTGAGAAGAGTATGCACGGAGAAACACACTATTTAGCCCCTTTACTCCTCCTGTGAGTTTATCCAAGATTATGAAGAATAGACTGAGAAAGTTCAGATTTTAAAGATGCTTCGTAATCTGTTTTAATTATTGAACTTCAGAGAAAATTCTTCATTCCCGTACAAAAGAACGTAACTGCATTTCAACATTGCCAAACTCCTCGCAAATTGCATTATGATCAGGAAAAATCTTGGGAATTTTCGACGGAAAATTTCATTGATTTTTTTTGCTCTCGTGTCAAGTTCAGAAGAAATTTAACAAAAATTCTACAAAAAGTACATTACTGTAAAAAATTGAATTATTTGAGTAAACTTTGCAACCTTGGAATGGAATTACGTTTCTTCGTTCAAGAAACGACGAATTAGACCGTGTTTAGCAGAAAGGAACCAAACCACATCAGCTGTTGCCAAAGTCAATTGGGCAGTTTAATTATTTACATGGAAACTATTGTGTGGATTTTTGTGCAAATTTAAGTGAATTTTTAGCTTAGCATACGAAGCAAATTCCTCAACATTTTCAAAGGAATCCGCATGAAAACCTCCTTTGTGACCTCTTGAAAGAATTAAATTATGCAGTTAAATTTGGCGGTAGCTGATGTGGCTTGGTTCCTTTCTGCTAAACGCGGTCCAATTAGACAACGTCTGCAGGTGTAGTTAAGCTACTTCCGAACACATCCGTCCAATTATCGTCAAATCCTTTCAATTGACATCTTTGCAGTAGTCTAAAATGGTCTCGCATATAGCTGATACATGGAATCCTTCTACGTGGAATATTCTGAAGAAAAGTGGATTGTGCCCATGGCTTTGTACTCGTGGCGAATAACATTTCCCGTCCTGACAGAAATAATAAAACCCTGAATGTTGCGCGCGTTGTGGCGTGGCCTTTAAAATAGTTTATTTGCCAAAATAGAGGAGTTCCCGATTCGGGGGGCACTATCATCAAATACAAACGAGACTGAGCTGGAGTTAGCATAGGAAGAGTCGATTTGATAGCGTGACTCGGCTGATGAATTGCAGCGACCATGACGTTCACGACTGCCGATTAGACGGTGCTCGCCGTCGTCGTGTGCCAGTGCCCCCATCGGGCCGCGCCGGGCTGGCAGGCAACCCTCCCGGCACTCGGGTCCAACGTTGCCGCACACCTATTCCCACCTGGAGTCCCTTTATCCTGAAAGTCAAGACAATGTGAATCCATTTCCGATTAGTTGCCGTATTTTAGGCCTCCACAGTGTCACAAACGAGAATCAAGATTATATTTTCACCGATTGCAAAGATTATAATGTAGAATGGACCGGGGAATATTGAGTTCGACAAGTAACAAACGGAATGATAGAAGGAGCGGAGAAAGGAATTTAAGGATGGACCGATCAAAGATTACGAAAAACGTTCAATTTGAGTAATCTTTATTCCCGTTTGTCACTCCATGAGGGGGTGTTGTCTTGACTCTCAGTATAAAGGGACTCTATTGCCATCCATCTCGTGACCCATACAAAGACAAATACTCATATAGTGTTCTGCCGTGCTAGGGAAGACGCTGTATGAGCCTTCAGGCGTTGCCAAATTTCCTTTGATATACCACGAATTTCCTGGTGAACTTGTAAACATTTTCCTTCCAATTTTTCAGATAATTTTGTGCGCAGTTTCACCTGAGGTTTCTGAAAATTTCAAGGAAAAATATTCATAACGTTTCGCAAAAAAAGCATTTTATCGAGTGAAATTTTGCAACTCTTAATTGGTCATACGGCGCTTTTCCGTAGCACGGTAGTGTTGAAAAACCGCGCTGATGGAGTTTTTAAATAATGAGAAAAGACTATTTGTTTGAAATTATTATGTAAATTGTGTCCCGTGTAAACTATTAATTACCAAAAGTTATAGCCAATAGGCGTTGTATATTTACAATTAAGAAGTGATTTTACTAATTTAGTGGTGAGAATACGGTTGATATTGGTATTATACTACCAGGAACTAAGAGCTCATAATGAACACCGATATGTTATGATGATTTTACCGAAGTTCTAACTCAGTGCGAGAGTGGTAAAAAGTAGTAACCTCACCATCCTCATCAATATACAATTATACAAGATAGATGCAATGTTCTGGTAAAGAAGTTCAGTTGACCAGTGCTCAAACAAATTGATGGCAATTAATTGATTATTGATAATGGTCAGTAAAACTGAGTATTGAACCTTGCTGAACTTCTCGTATATTAATAATAAGTGATATCGACTATGTTTTGACGTTTAAAATTCAGATCTCATAAAAATTCTTAAATCAATTCTACATTCAATTTCCAAGCTCATAAAGAAATCTTAAAGATGAGGTCTGACTACAGGTGCAAAATTTGATTACGGGTGAATATAAAGTTTTTCTTATGTGGTCAAATTCTCTCTGCATGCGGACATCAGAGATGTAAGGCTATATTCATTCGCAGGGATGCCAGTTTTTTTGGAATTGCAGATGTCATGATGATACTAGAAATCTTCAACCTCCAACTGACGTAAATAGCGCCAAATTTGGTGGGAAAACCTCTCCCATATAACTATGGATCGTTGCAGAGTTGTGCTGTGCAGAGAGAAAATCCAGTGACGACGACAAAAAGAAAGCGCGGTAGTCAAAAAACTTACTAAGTCCTTGTAGCTGTATTAAATAACGTTTAGCGTAATTTTTTAACCTCATTATAGGAAAAAGTGACTTAATTCAAGCTGAAATATACTCAAATTTACCGCTGAGAAGATTTCCTTATGAGTCAATAAAGAAAATAATGCTTGTTTAAAGAAGAGAAGATGCTTATATACAGAAAAGTCACTTACATCTAGCAGAAACCTGTTTTCATTCAGCTATTATATTCTTAATTGATAATAAAATCTGCTTGGTGGCGTACTCAAGAATTTTTCTGCCTAAATTGAATCACTTTTTTCTCTAATAAAATTCAAAAATTATGCTAAATGTTATTAAATACAGATGATAGGACTTAGTGAGTTTTTGGACTACCTTTGTATTTTTGTGTCGTAGTATCTTGATTTATTTTGCAAGGAAAGGTCCGTTCTCTTAAAGAATGTCTGAAATTCTTATTATGTTGGATCGCTTTCAATTTCGTATGATACTGTGCAACACCTCTGTTGTGAAATAGTTACTTAAGGCGCCGCCGTGGCACGCTGCGGTGCGGCGCCCGGCCGGCCAGCGCGCACTGGCCCCTACAAACCTAAGTGGATACTTCAAGCATTGCGCACTGCGTGAAGTATCCCCTTAGGTTTGTAGGGTCCAGTGCGCGCTCCGCATCGGTAGCACGCCGCTCAGCTCTGTGTTAGGCTCTAATTTTTATACTCGCAGAATCAGCGTTTTTCAACTCATGATTTTGAAATGTTTGCATACTTTGCATGAACTATAATCATTTAAATTGATGAAAAAATATGTTATGAAGGAAAATTAATGTGTGTTTTGTAAATATTAAAGTCGTTCCGTGTCAAATTTAATGATTTTCAAAGCATTTTAATTTTATCCTTTATACATTGTGCTTTTACTGTGCTACAGCGTAGTGTACGCGCAACTAAACGCTCAAAATTGGACGTATTTGACTCTAAAAAATTGACCTACAAATGAGTTTAAACCAAAGATTGCGTGCTTTTTGGTTTTTTCCTCTTTCATTCGTGTTTGTATTGTTTCTCTGGACACAACTACAGCTCATTCCGATTAATATAGATGTCATCGCTTGGAAAATGTTTTACAAATATTTACCAGGTTTTAAAAATGTATTTTTTTAAAAAAAAAAAAAAAAAAAAAAAAAATGAAGTAATATTTACATTAAAGAAAGAGTATGTTTAAGGTATATTTTAAATCGAAAATTTTAAGGATGGAAATAAAACCAAGTATTCCATAATGACAATTTGTAAGGATGAATCAAAAGAAGGAGGTATCATTTCATTACAAAAATGAGTATAACAACGCCTCCTTCTCTCTCAATTTTCTCATTTCGATATTGTGAGTATAATTTTACAGACGGACTAAAATATAGCACTAGCGACACTAAGTCGTTCCGTGTCAAATTTAATGATTTTCAAAGCATTTTAATTTTATCCTTTATACTTTGTGCTTTTAATGTGCTGCAGCGTGGAGTGCGCGCAACTAAATGCTCAAAACTGGACGTATTTGACTCTTAAACATCGATTTACAAATGGGCTAGATTAAAAGATAACGTGCTTCTTGGTTTTTTCCTCTTTTATTCATTTTTGTATAATTTCTTTCAAGACAACTACGGTTCATTGAGATAAATATCAGTACCATCGCTTGGAAAAGGTTTTACAAATATTTT